ATGGCTGTCATGAGAAATCTCAGTGTTGACGCTTGTTGAATTTTTCAGCATATCCTAGACATTGTTCTTCACTTTTTAATTACTATAATATTCATTACAATAGGAAGAATGGCTAATGTTTATGAAGCAATCACATGTTCATCAGTGAAGAGAACATGACCAAATGTTCGTCCTTGAAGGTCATTGCTCTGGGCTTCTATGACAGCCAAATCCCCTTGACTTTCTCCTCCACTTCTGGGCATGTCATCTACTTTATTTTTTAATATTGGATTTCTCAGATTCAGCCACAAGGCCCTCTTCTCTTGGTGAATGGAGCAGATAATCTTAGCATTTAAAATAAAATCTCAAAAGCATAAGAAAAGAGAGAGTCACAATGGATTCCAAGATAGGAAATGAATTGCCTGTCATGAAAAGAGCCAGCCACAGGTTTGAGCCTCCAGGCACATGAATTCTTTCTTTCTTTCTTTCTTTTTTTAAATATTTTTTTTATTTATGCAGGGGTGAGATGATTCACCAGAGACAGAGAGGAGAACAGAACAGGCAGATCAACTGAAATAAACTGCTGAAGGGAGCAGCTAGCGAGACAGGAGAGGTCTGCTATGTCCAGGCACATGAATTCTTTCTATTAGTGCTTTTAAAAGTGTAAGCAAATCACAGGGACAGGAGATGTCCTTTAAAATGCAGAATCTGAGTCAGCTTGTCCAAAGTGCCACTGAGATGCATTCCACATGGTGTTGCTGGTCCCTGGGCCACACTTTAAGTAACAAGGGTCTGAAAAATGACACTATGATATAATAAGGCACTGATAAAGCATAGCTAAGTTGCCCATTACACCAAGTTACCAATTAAATAATATAATAATCACTATATAATAATCACTGAGTTGTGGGATAGGGAATATAAATTGCAAAAAATTTAAAGGATGCATGCTTCTTTTTTCCAATTCAGTATCTACTGAATTTAAAAGGAACTGAAAGTTCTGTGACATCAAAAATTAGACTTGATTATTTTTTAAAGAATTCAGTCTAAAAACTAATTGTGCAGATCTGAGTTTCAAGCTCTGGCATCCACACAAAGAATCAGTTATTTGGTAATTCAGAATCTGCAAATTTGGCTAGTCTGAATTGGGGGGTGGGAGGAGGGTGCTCTATATTATTACTACAAACAAATTTTCATAAAAATAAGAATCTTAGGAAGGCATAAAATAGATTAGAATTAAAATATGGCTAACAAGGGCCTCCCTAGTGGTGCAAGGGGTTAAAATGCAACCTATGAGGCTGTCCGCAGCCTCTGCAGCACGAGTTTGCTCCCCCCCCCCCCCACCAGCCAGGGAGAAACCCATATGGTGCAGCAGACCTCTCCTGACTCACCCACTGCTCCCCTCAGCAGTATGTTTCAGTCCATCTGCCTGTTCTGGTCCCCACTCTATCTCTGGTGAATCCTCTCACCCCCTGCACCTCTGGCCTGTACCCAGCTTTTGTATGCATAAATAAATAAATCTTTAAAAAAAATTTTTAAATAAAAAAGATATATGGCTAACAAGATAAACAAACAACCTTAAATCCATAGTTTTATCAATTTTAAACTCAATTTTACGTAGTAACTTCTGTACTCATTGTGATAATTAGTATGTGTTTTGTCAGCTTCTTAAGGTGTTCAATGTACTTAAGAAAATCCATTGTGTTCGTGTTGTGATTTTAATTAGTTGGATAGAAAAAAATTAGGCTTGAACTCAATATTTAAATGTTTGGGAGGGAAAGTGTTTACTTAGAGTCCTAAGTTTTGTTTTATAAGTTATATAAAAACTGCTGACCTTGGAAGATTTTTTTAATGCTAATTGCTTAATAAATTTATGAGACAGTCCCATTGACCTTCTTCTACTGTATCAAATACACAGGTTCCCTGCCAAAGCAAGACTTCTGAGTGCCTTTTTCCTAAAATGTGCTTCCCCCAATCTCTGCATGTCTATTTGTACTTTTGTGTGTTTATGACACCTCCAGCCTGCATTATGAACTTGGTGCCACTGTAATCCTCATAGCCCTACAGTCACTCAGATTATTCCAGATGAGAGTGTAGACTGGGAGGGTTTTAAGTATCATGTCCAAGAAGTGGAACTGGAATGGAACCAAGGTTACTTTAATTTGCAGACACTGGATGGCTATTGTTATGGCAAATTGAATAAACAGTGATCTCTAAATGCTGAGTGATCCCATTGCTCCCATAACCTGCTCAGGTCTGCAAACATGAAGTTACAGAATGATAGAAACCCCCAGAGCTTTCCCAGAAAAGACAATTTGGGACAAATCTTTAAACACCACTTTCCTTCAAGGACCAATCAGGAGAGAGGAGAGGACGCAGAGCAAATACACACTATAATTTAAGCCTTAATGTAAGTCATGTGTCCTGCTCTTACAAGACCCACACAGTGATAAGAAAAGCAAGGCCCTGTATAGTAGTGCTCCATAACTTCTTTACATGAAATGGTAGCATTGCACAGCAGCAAATTGCCTTGAAAAGGATCCTGGACCCAAACTGGCTTCAAATCATGGAATTGCCACATTTCCACTGAGTATCCTGGCAAGTTATTCAACCTCTCCTGTGTTCAGTTTACTCATCGCCAAAAGCAGCTTAATGAAGGAGCTACTGTGAGGTTGTTCTGAGGATTGAATGAGGAAATACACATGAGGGACGTAAAGCTGTGTCTCTGCAAGGGACAACATATCTACTACTCCTTTTATGGACACCCACCAGTTGTTGCGGAATCAGTTCCTGAGCCCAAGGAAATTAGATTCTCACCTCTTTTCTACCGGATCAGATCCCTCCTCCTTTTTCCATTTTGGCTGGAACTTGCTCACATCTTTTACCCTGCAGGCTGTTCTGCCCTCTATATGCCCTGCCTTCTCGTTTCCACAGCTGCATTTCTTTTCATTATGTAGCTGAAAACCCCCCACTGCAAAGGTTTATTTATAGTTGGAAAAAAATCAGTGTTATTTAGTTTGAGTTTTTCTAAAACTATCAGTCCATTACTGTAAAAGCATCCACATTTACATTGCAGCATCATTCTGTTTCCCCAGTGCGCTGTAATCATTAATTAGCTATTCAAAACAATGTTTATTGAATGTCTATAGTGGGAGAAGCCTGATCCAGACTCCTTTCATGTGAAAACAATGATCTCTCTGAGTTCAGACTCCCATGAACCAACTACTTACTAGACAATTACCTCTATTTGGATGTCCCAGATACATGAGACATTGCCAAAATTTAATACACACATGCACACACACGCACATGTTCCTGATTTTGGAGAATGGAGCCACCATTCCCATCTCCTATGCAAAGTGGAAGTTGTCAAGCTCTCCCTTCACAAATCACTACGACTCATCAATCACCAGGCTCCATCAGTCCATCTCCTAAGGCCTTGCTACCCTCTCTTCTTCCATGAACATGCCAAGGTAGTATGGCCTAGACTACTAATTATCTCAGGGCTGGTCTCTCTGCTTCCATCTCTTCCTCCTGTAGTCCCTCCTTCACACTGTCTTTATGTAGATCTTTTAAAATCTGACCATGTTTCATGCCTCTTTGTTTGAAATCCTTTTTTATTCCATCATCCAAGGATAAAAGCCCATTCTAAGACACAGCTTCTAAGACCCTTAATAGTCTTAGCTCTGCCCTTCCCACCAGACTCATCTCCTGCCATGCTCACATACCTTTAATGACAGGTGGATCTCTTATACTCCTTCATGCCTCCTCACTGTTGTATATGCTGTACCCTCTGCTGGAATGTTCATCCTGCCTCCCCCAACCAGTGAAAAACTCTTAACACTCCTGTTGAGAGTTACCTAATCAATGAACTTTTCCCAACCACCTCAGGGCAGAATTCTATACTTCTTCCTTTGTGTTACTAGGTTTTTCATACTCGCTTCTTTTATAGTGCTTATTCCATTGTTTAATTATTTACATGTTAGTCCCCCTAACCAGATGAATACTTTGCAAATACTTTATTTGTCTTAGTATTCCCAGTGCTTAGCACACAAAAGGTATCCAGTAAACGCTGATGAAATACATGATTGTAGTGGCAAATACTAGGCTGGTCTCTTGGCAGCTTATGTGTTCCTCCCATCCCACACTCCCAAGCAGCCTTAGCTGACCTGCCCTGAGGAACAGTGCAGTCTGGTATCCACTCTGAGGGGACAAGGCTAGGGTAGGAGCTGAGAGAGTGCTTTGGGTCTTAACCTGACTGTGCACAAACCTGTGCTAAGCATGGCTTCCTTGAGGGCAGCCTTTAGAGGAAAGTCAAACCTGGATGTAAACATGCCTTGCAGAGAAGCCAGCTGCTTTTCCCCCCAGCCCCTCAGAGCACAAACCTACTTTGGAAGGAGGATTACTGTGTTTGATCTGAGGGCTTAGAGGTTCCGGTCAGCCAACCTACCTATGTTTGTGCTTAAGATTCTAAGCCCCAAGAGAAGAAGATCTTGGGGCCTCCCTGGTGACATAGGGGTTAAGTCTCAGGGCTATCATGCTCTCACCACTGCAGCCTGAATTCGATTCCTGGCCAGGGAGCTAACTGGCAGCAGACCTCTCCAATCTAGCCCCTGCTCCCCTCAGCAGTGTATTTCAGTCAATCCTCCTGATCTGCTCCCCACTCTGTCTCTGGTGAATCCTCTCACCCACCCCCTGTACCTCTGGCCTATACCCCAGTTTTTCTATGCATAAATAAATATTTCTTTAAATATTCTTCAACACATCTTAGGTGGCAAGCCCCTCAGGGGGTAGTTAAAGTCACTTAATTAGGTGATTCTGATGAGAATCAATGCTTTCAGATAAAAATTAAACCCCCTTTGCTAGTTTCCTAGTAAAAACAGGTCCTGGAAGGTAAGTTCTGACCAGAACTCTGCAGCTAAATCCATTCTCACTGTAAATATTTACTGCACCCTGGGCAGAGTTTACAGAAGAACTAATATGTTGACAGAAGAACTAATGTGTTGTCCTTTTCTTTTTAGGTGCTTGTGGACTATTTGGAGGAAAAAGACAAACTTCTAAGAAAAATTGAATAATAAGAATATTGTTGAACAAAGTCATAAAGAAGAATATGCCTTCAAGGGTAACTGACTGCCAAATGAGAGATTCAGAGAAGGGAGAAGACATCAGCCCCTGGCAGGGGCAGGAGAAGAAAGAGAGTTGTGAATGGAGGAGAGGACTGACTCAGAGGTTGCAGACAAGGCGTGTTCACCTAACAGGTTGGACCAACAAAATGGAGGGACATGGGGTGGGGCATCTTGGTAGAAAGAAATGAGCACATTCTTTGAAATCTGAGACAAGTTTTCATTCTGACATTTATTAGCAGGTCTCAGGCATTTTTAAAACTCTCTGCCTCTTGGTCTCCTCACCAGTAAAACAGGAACTGTGCTATCTACCTCCTGGGCTGCAGATAGCATTCATGGGCACAGTGAACGCAAACACATATGTGGAGTAAGCCCTGGCATAAAAAAGACGGAAAGAGAAAAATCTTGCCCTCAAGAGCTACCACGTGAGGAATCAGTAAATCATAGTCCCCTCTTCCTTTACCCTCCAGGTGTCTGTCACTTTTTAACTGTGGCCAGATGGGGGTGGGGGTGGGGGCCATTCCTAACTGGAAAGAAGAATGTGGGTTCAGAAGATTAGAGACATAATAAGCTCCTCACCACCTTCTTTGGGAGATTCCTGCCCTGCTGTCCCACTTTCTATTAGGAAGTGGATCTGTCTCTCCTGAGGCCAGAGATCCTGATTGTCAGTCTCTCCCATGAGCTTGATGAAGTATATGGGAAGCCAATGTTAAAGGGAATAACCCTTAGCCAATTGCTATCATTACCCAAAAAGCCTGCTGTTTATTCACATTATTTAATTTTTGTAATTGCAAAAGACAACCACTAAGGGGCCCAGGAATGAGTGCTGAGCCCTGATCACATTTATTAGAAAGAATGTCTTTAGTTCTTGCTGGAAAATGTAGTCAAGGTCAACAAAACATACATTGTGGCCTGAGAACAATACCTTCAGCACCTTCTGCAAACTCTTAGCAAAGAACAGGGCTCCCTGGAGGCTAAAAAGCCTTAACTCAGCCCATCCTCCACAGCCCATCAGGCTGGGCCAATGCTTTCTTAGCTCTGATTCCATTTTTTCAGTGTTTCCTCCTGATTAAAAGCCCTTTGGCTCAGCAGGATTGTCTATAATGATAGTAAATGGCTCACATGATGATGAGGCAATCTTTTCACATCTTGAACTGCAATCCATCTTGCAAAGCCTTGCCACTGTCTGAATTCACAGCCTGGGATTTGCAGCAAAGCCAAGGGCTGAGGTTATTGGTTTAGGTTCCTATGCCCCACCCCTACCCCAGGCCCCAGCCCAATTTCCACACCATATGCAGACTTGAATATCTAGTGTACTCAACCTCCCTATGGCAGTCCTCACTGAAATCACTCACTTGAAAACAAAAGCTCAGGTCCCTATGTGTCTCTGGGGTCACAATAACTCAAGTTCCCCAACCAAAACTGGGTAACAAAGGTTGTTTTTCCTTAGCAGGAGTCTGCTTTCATAAGGGTGCATCTCTTACATTTCCTTTGAGACACTCAAGGAACACTCCAGCAACAATGGAAATGAACATGATTTCCCAAGCAGGTTGCCTAGAAACCACTCCTGTGTTTCTGAAACTAATTTAAACATGAAAATTCAGCTCCTGACTCATGTCAGGAATGCATGTCATGGTTTTCTCAGTATTGTACTTTCTTTTCCTTTTATATTACAAAATAATGCATGCTCATTGAAGAAAAATTGAAAAGAATATGAAAATGTGAGTGTCCAGAAAGAGAAAAATCTCCAAATTCTTACTATCAGGGGCAACCTGATAGTAAACTGCCATGTGGGAGTGTTTCCTTTTTTTTTCCTATGTAATTTTTTTCCTGTCAAAAATATCATTGATATTAAGACTGAATTCACATACACCATGTTTTTTCTACTTAGCATTTTATCAGCATTTCCCCCATCTGGCTAAACTGAGATTTTATTTTTTCCTAATGATTGCATTATATTATAGTCCCTTTTCCTTAACCATTCTCATAATCCTAGACATTTAGATTATTTTCAATCTTACGCCATTTTAATTTATGTTGTCTTAATCATCTTAGTACAAAATATTTACTTTATTTCCTTGGGATAAAATTATAGAAGGATTTTCAAGGAGATTGAATATTTTTAAACCATTAAAAAATTTAATTTGTGTATATGATGTTTTTAATTTAAATAGTGCATTAAAGAGCAAATTTCCCTCTCTTCTATCTAGTACCACTTCCTAGAGGTAACAGCTGCTCCCAGATGTTTTCTATGATTATAATGGGGTGTGTGTGTGTGTATAATTTGTTTATTTGACACTGTACACTGGTCTACCATTTGCTTTTTCTTACATATTGGATCACGGATATCTTTCCAGATCAACCCAAACTGATATATTCTTTTTAGAAGTTGCACAATACTCCATTAGATGATAAACTGTCACTCATTTACCCTGCACAGAACTTAATGCACTTGACAGATTTTCAATGAATGGGGTTCCCAGTAATCGCTCTGATTCTGTTTCGCACCATCCGCTCCCCACTTCTGCTGGGCCAGGACGCAGCTGGTGGCAAAGGAAGCCTCACCTGGGTACAATTAGTCAGTATGATGGTCTCTAGATGTCTCCAAAGGTATTTGTTTGTTTGTTTGTTTAATTTTTTTACATTTCACATCTAAGTGATACTATGCAGTATTTGCCTTTCTCTGTCTACCCTATTTCACTTAGCATAATATCCACTAGCTTCATCCATGTTGTTGCAAACTGCAGGATTTTCTCCTTTTAAGGTTGAATGACGTTCTGTTACATACAAATAGATCAGACTATAGATAGATAAACAATGAAGATCTGTACATTTTCTTGATGTATATGTCATCTTTTAGGGTATAGTCATACTTTGGCAATTGGAATAATGCTGCAAGGACCAAGAGAGTGAATATATCTCTTTGAGATAGTAATTTCATTTCCTTTGGATCTGTACCCAGAAGAGGGATTGCTGTATCACAGGGTAGTGTTATTTTTCATTCCATAAGGAGCCTCCATCTGTTTTCGATAGTGCTACACCACTTTTCATTCCTCCCAACAGCCCAGGAGGGTTTCCTTTTCTCCACATCTTCTGCTGCCCTCGTTGTCTCCTGTCTTTTTTTTTTTTTAAAGATTTATTTATTTATTTATACAAGCACTGGGCACAGTCAGAAGCGCGGGAGGGTGAGAGAATTCACCAGAGCCAGAGCGGGGAGTAGAGCAGGCAGAAGGACCGAAGTACACTGCTGAGGGGAGCAGCGGGCGGCAGGAGAGGTCTGCGCGCCATGTGGGATCCTCCTCCGGTGGCCGGGGAGCAGCCGGGGATCGAACCGGCGCCGCAGAGGCCGCGGGCAGCTTCGCAACCCAGCGCTCAACTGCTGCGCCACCGGGGAGGCCCTGTCTCCTGTCTTTTTGATAATAGCTATCCTGACACATGTGCGTTGACCTCTCATTGTGATTTTTGCCCACTTTTTAATTGGGCTGTAATTTTTCGTTATTGAGTGCATGAGTTCCTTGTAAATTTTGGTTATTAACCCCTGGTCAAATATGTGGTTTGCAAACATTTTCACCCATTCCATAGGTTGCCTTTTCATTTTGCTCATGGTTTCCTTTGCTATATAGAAGCTTATTAGTTTGAGGAAGTCCCCCTCATTTATTTTGCTCTTGCTGCCTTTGTACCTCTAAACTATTCTGATCTCCATACCTATTGATTAAAATGTTGAGCGCACACTTCCTGGCAATTATATAAATATGTATTTGTTTGCTTACAAGTTATGTGCATATGTTGTTTTATGAAAAATATATTTACATGATAGAAAATACACTCAAATGGCTATTTTAAGGGTTGAATTAAAGAATATCTAGTCATTTCATTTATTTATATAATATGTAATAAATTAATGTAAAAGTAAGTCATGATAAGTCTTACTCTCCTTTATAAGAGCAATGTGATTAAATATGCTTTATTATATTTTAAAATATTGGTTATCATCTTTGCATTAAGTTATTATGGAGTCAGATTCTAAATTCAGTTTATTTCAAGGGTTGCTTTTAAGGGTTCATTGCAAGAAGAGATCCCAGCGTTGCTGGCTGTACTTATAGTCCTGTCCACCAGACATGCAGAGTACTTTGGAAAATCAGTTGTGTTTGCATTATTAAGCTAATTTTCAAATTCTGGTTATTGTGGAGAAATCTTTCATAGTTAGCTATCTATTTAATAAGTTTTCGCTTAACTAAAATTAAATAACATATTCCATAAATCCACTTAACAAGCCACACGTCCAAAACCAGACTCTTGGTCATTTGCCTCAAACCTTCTCTTCTCACCATTTTTCTCACCTCAGTTACTGACAACTCCATCCCCCAGATGATGGGGCCAGAAACCTCGTGTCTCTCCTTTGTCTCCTTTCTTACTCTCAACTCCACATGGAACTCATCAGCAAGATCATGTGGTCTACCTTCAAGCCATATTCTAAACCTGAACACTTCCTGTCCCTTTTCCCAGTACTGTCCTAGTCTAAGCTGCCATCTTCCATTACCTGCAAGTGTTGCTTTGACACCCTAACCATTGGTCCTGCTTTTGCACCTGCCCCTTCAAAGTTCCTGCATCACAGCAGTATATGAGTCTTTTAAGGGCTGTTTCTTTACAACCTAAATGCCCAAAAATAGATGGCTGGATCAGGAAGATGTGGCATATATACACAATGGAATATTATTCAGCCATCAAAAAAGATAAACTCATGCCATTTGCAGCAACATGGATGGAGCTAGAAGGAATTATATTCAGTGAAATAAGCCAGAAGGAAAAAGAAAAATATCGGGTAGTTTCACTTATAGCAGGAATATCGGAGAACCAAATAAGACATCAGTGTAAAAAATATAATAACAGTACAAACCACAACAAAGCAAAAACAGACAATTATAAACCAGAGACATCCTGCAGGGGAGGAGGAGGGAGAGGGATTAGAGGGAGGGAGGGAGGAGCACAGGGGACTGAGGTGATGGTGCACCTTGGGGAAGGAAATTCTATGGGGACTATTGAGCTATTGAGGGGGTGGGGGGAAGCCAATATTGTTTAAAAATGAACAATGAGTAAGAAATTAAAAAAATAAAAGTTGTTTCTTTAATTTGGAGAAATCTCAAACTTACAGATAAACAACAAAAATAAAAGAATGCAAAAACAGACCACATTTTGCTGGTCTATTTATCTGTCTGTCTGCATATCTGCCTAAAGGGCATATAGCATGGCCCTCTATTCCTGAACATTTCAGTGTATATTTCCTAGTAATAAGAATAACCTCTTTCATAACCATAGTACAGTTATCAACCTCAGTCAGCTTACCACTGGTACAATAAGTTTATCTAAACTACCATCTACCCTCCTAGTCACTTGTGTGTCATTTTATTTCCTTAGTACAGGCCCCAATCTGAGATCAGAGTCATG